GAATAGTGTGCTGATTTGCTTTTGGTTACATCGTCATTTGCAATAAAAAGAAAATTTTTAAACTTCATGAAAATTGAATTTGTATTTCTAAAAAATTTCTAATTATCGTTGGTCTTATTTTGTTTTTTGAAAATTACTTATATAATGTCTTAAATAAAAATATTTATATTAAAATTAACATACGAAAAAAATATCACTTTATTTCATTGCTAAAAAAGTGTTTAGATACTCAATAAGCCATCAATAAACCTTGATTTACGTACTTCTGATTTATAAGCTTATGGAAATAGAGATGTGAATCATAATTTAGAAAATATTTAGGGATTTTAAAAATAACTGCAACATTATTCAAGCCTGTGGCTTGATCGTTATTAGCATAAGAAATGTAAACATCGATAAATGTAGTTATAAAAAAATGTAACGATCGATTGTAAATTAGAGATTGTAAATTAGTAATTATAAATAAGAAACCCATTTTTTAAATTTAATAAATTTCATTTCTTTACAAAATTGATTATTGTTATAACAAACCACTATGATGTCAAGTAAAGCACTGCGAATTGGCATGACATTTACTAATATGGAAAGCGTTCGTTTAGTTCTAGAAAGCTACTCTGTTGAAACTTCTTCATCTTATAAATAATTGTGCTAGTTTAACCTTTTACCTAATAATCGGTATATAGATAACTCTAAATGCCTATAATAAAATAATCGATAATTTTATAAGGGATTGGAATCCATTTAGTCGACTAAATATAATAATAGTTTACTATACAGATTTTTTAGTCAACTAAACCGATTCCAATCCCTAATTCTATCATCGCGATTTTGCAATCGTTATAATTCAAATGGTCATAGTACTTTCTGACGCAATAATCCCGTGATCACGTTTTTTAGCCATCTATGTAATATTTTAAAAAATTAGGCCCTTATATGTAATTACTTTTAATTTGGACCCGTATTTGTAATTATTTTCACTTTTCGGGCCATTATTTGTACTAATAGCAATGTAACAATGTAACATATGCTATGTTATTTAATCTAAACATATTTTTCATGCTGTTATGACAGATGAATCTATTATTCTTTTTTTGTAAAATGGGTTATATTTGAATTAGTGTTCCATTTGGATAACTATACATCATGATCCGAATCTAATTATTATTCAATTGCTATTGGTAAATTAACATAATGCATATTTTCTGAATGTGGCAAAGAATGAAATTGATTTCAGCTGTGCTAATAGAAAGACAAATCATGTAAGTTTTGTGTTGGTCATGGGGCTGAGTTCTATGATTCCTTCGTTGAAGTCCTTTTGCTTTGTTCTTTGACGATCACCGGCAAAAAATTAGAAGCAAAAAAACTAAAAATAGAAGCATGACTATAGATGGGAATGGATATATACTGTACAGTAAGTACTAAATTATACTTTTTTACTATGATTTAATTAAGTTGTTTAAGTGAGTCATGTATAGATATACGTATATTTTACATATCACGTTATACAATCAAATATGAACAAGTCAAAATGATAAATGGTTAATTATGTAAGCTTTTTCACATTCCTATACACGACCGTTTATGGTATAATGACATTATATTATTTGTATAACCATTTATATTATATATTGTAACGCGAATGATTCGTGTTATTAGTAATGGTACGTTGTAAAAGGCTAAACTGGCACCGGGCCGATGAATATTGAAATATAGATCACATATAACAAACAACTACTAACATTACACAAATACAACACAACGTAACTCGATCAAGAAAATTCAAATTAAATGTTCGTAACACTAACCCTAACACTAACATGAACGAACTTTAAAGAATTTGTGCTGCGCTATAAACCTGGCACACATTCGCACGTACGAACTTGTGAAAGTCAAATCTACCCCAGAACTGCGCCACAAGACCAATCGACAAATTTTCGAAATTTTGTAAATTTCAGAAATTTAAGTAATAGCAATAGTGAAAACTTGAGATATTTTTATAAAATTTTGCGTGATTCCATATTAAAAGCAATTCTTGAATGTACAAATCAGATTTCAAGGTTAAGTGCAACGTAACACGAACGAGAAAATTCAAAACGAACAAGCGTTTTGTCAATAATCGCTTTTTTCTTGAAAAATTGTATATAAAACTACTCTTCGCGCATTAATAAAAAGTTTTCCTTGAGTAATTTTACACATATGCTCCTAACCTCTAACCATATCATAATAAAAGCCCTAATTTAACATAAACGAACTTTAAAGAATTTTGACTGCGCCACAAACCTGGCACACATTCAAGAATTGCTTCGTACGTACGTACTTACGTATATTACATTTGCAATTCTGCACACACTCACAAGCTCAATGAGATTGATCAACCATTACATATTAAGAACCACATCCACATCTTAAAAACATCTTAAAAAACGATATTTCAAGAAATAGTCAAAATAAATAGTGAATGAAGAGTTACATATACAATATCATATTAATATTTAAATTTGTGAATAAAAATAATAGAAAAAGTAGATATTAAAGTAAATTATTAAGTGAAATTTAAATTTCTTTATTGTTGCAATGAAAATTTAAGATATGAAGCAATTTGCATCATTTATACAACAATCGTTTATGGTCTTTGTGACAATTCATGATTAAGGGCGTTCTTAAGTAGCCCCTTGATGTAATTTAAAAGTGAATCGAGATGCCGCAATAACTAAAGTTTTTGTGATCCTTGATGCATTAATATACTGAACCTTCATTGTATGAAATGCTTGTACGAAATGCGGATGTGGAAGCCAATCAAAACAACTATGAAAAAAAGGTGGTCTTCATCTCCATATTTTATTAATTGAATGTCAATTAATTTATTGGATTTTCGGCTAATTAAAACTTTGCCTCAGATCCATTAGGGGGTTTCATAATTAACTTATTTTAAAATAAGTGGGAGTTTAAAAGATCCTACTTCTATTTTTTAAAATTCCGACTCAATAAATTAAATAAACGAACACATTAATAACTTTACTTTGATAAATGTCTACCAGCAAACGATTAAGTAAATAAGTTTATACGTTAAAAAAATAGTATTTATGTATCACATATTTTGACGTAAATACGTCACTTATTTTGTCTGAAATCTGATGCCAAACCATTAATTCTGAAACCCCCTATTGTGTGAGAAGCTTGAGAACACTCTAATAACACAAGAGATGTTATAATTGATAGATTAATAAGATTTTAAAATTTGTTTGATATTTAACTTTTGAATCATTTCTTTGAATAGAAAACAAAGATTTTTTAAGTGAATTAATTACTATTCCTAACACGATTATGATATTACTAAAATTTTAAAATATTAAATAAATAAACAGAAATAACCCAATAAAAAGAGTAAACATGATGTGTGGAGCATTAATGGTACCACTTCCACTAGGTCCAGAGCTTGAGCTTGGAGAAGTACCTTCTGCAGTGATTTTAATATCAGCACATACGTACAATGTTGTATCGGTTGGAGAAGTAGCATTACCCTCAAAATAAACTGATTGAAGAACACCTTGACTTCCAACAGTTGCGCCAGCTTTGGACAAATCAACAAAAGTTGTTATATTTTCTGCACCACTGATAGAATATTGTTTTGACTCTTTATTGATTACAACGAAAATAATACAATTAGTAGAAATCTAAATCATGCGAAAGGGACAAACAAATCATATAATTACCTGTTACTTGAGTAGCGAAATTAATGCCATCGGTAGAATAATAAAAGAACAAAGTACCATTTGTAGGATGACCCATGTTAATTATAACATTACCCTTTACTGTTATAATAATAAATAACTGTTAGAGATGAAAACAAAAAGATAACTTCACCCGGATATTAATTCGTAAGCTTACTAGGAAAAGAGCTAATGGTGGTCTGATTAACTGTAGTATAATTTTTGCCACACGGAGCACCATAAGTTGAGCCACTACCACTTCTAGCTGGTGGTACTAAAAGTTTATAATGGGCACTTACAAAATTAAGTAAAATTGCAAAAAAAATGGCAAAAATGAAGGACTTCATAATGCTTGTTTTTTCTTCTTAATTTTTAAAGCACGGATATTACAGATATTCAAATTAAATATTTCCAACAATCCGTAAGAATTATAAAGTCCAAATTCAGCTGGTATTTATTCATGATAATAACTATTAGTGTATATCTGGTGATATTGTTTGTATGATTTCTTTTGGGCTCAGCTAGTACATACAGTAGGTACGAATGTACGTACGTACGTACGTACTGTACATGCAGTAGTAGTGATCAGATTGGCTAATACAAGTGATCTACAAAAAGTTCAGTGTAATTAAGGTTAAACAAGGTAGTACTTCTGAGATTAAGTTTCGATAATCGTGAGATGAACATTTCGCAAATTTCCAAAAAAGATTACCAATAACGATAATGTGGAAAAACGATTGAATTCTTTGCAGAAAATAAGGAGTATAAGTGTAAAGTTTACCCACGGCATCCATTTGTGATTTTTATACAATTAACACATGCACATACGTACGTACGTACGTACATACGTACAAATTTAATGAACTCCTCCAAATGTATAAACCAAACTCTTTAGCTGTATCACAACATTCAATCTACGGTCAATTTACATTGTTCTTATCGTTATCAATAAACAGATCTAGTTTTTTCATAATCAAATATGCGTGAAACATTAAATACATCTCTTCAAGTGAAAGTTTTTGATAGAAAAGGCTAAAATTATTGTCACCGTTTACAAAATTGTAAATCATTAATAATTCGGCGGTTTTTACATTGAAAACTTGTAATAGCTTCGTTTATTAATTTTAATAATAAATAAACAAAATCCTGTTAATAAATCCTAATTTGATTTTTGTGCCAATATCGTACGAGTACGTACGTACGTACGTACGTCAACTTTTAGTAGATACATTTAACTCACGAGACATTGTTACAACTGCTCAATAAAGCTTGGCATTTCACCTTTTTAGAAAATTTATGACCGAAGGTCGAATACCAAATTGGTGCACCACTATAATTCTTTGATATTTGATCCTTCGATTTCCAATTCATTTACGTAATTAATCAACAACCTTTTTGTATTCTAAAAAAAATTCACGTAAAATTCTAAGAATAATTCTAATTAAAATAAAATTTTTATTAGAATAATTCTAATTAAAATAAATTTTTATTAGAATAATTCTAATTAAAATAAATTTTTATTAGAATAATTCTAATTAAAATAAATTCTATATAATTAGAAAATAAATTCTAATTGAAATAAAATTCTAATTAGAATAAATTCTAGTTGGAATAATTCTAATTAGTTGGGATAAATTCTAGTTAGATTACCTTAGTCTAATCCTAGCACTAACCATAAGGTTTTATCACTTAACATTGTATTCTTCCGAAAACAACCGAAAGTACTCACAACTCATATACGTACATCTGAAAATAAGCATCTCTTTTATATTGAAAATAAATAACGATATATTAACTATCGATATATATCGATATATAGCATATTCATTATACTAAATAATGGAATGGATAGACTTGATAAATATTAAGTTTTGTTATCATTACAAACTATTTTGGTTAAGATTTTTTTAGCAGATGCATTGTATTAAATTCATTATATGGTTAGTAGTAAAATCGGCAAAAAATGTCCGTTACACATCATATGGCCTTTTTAATATTGAATCCGTTATAATAGTGTCGTGTAGTGTTGTTAGATAAACCCATTTTTGAAAAATGACGAAAGACGAAACCTAACCTTTAGCCAGACGAAAGTGACGAAAAGACGAAACCTCTGCAAGAACAAAGCCTGGTAAGTGATCTAGTGTTGTGCTAGAGTTTGTAAGCCAATCTATTGTTCTTCTTTAACGCCTTAAATCTTATGTGTATCAAGAACTTAATTAAATGATTTGATGATTATGTTGTGCATAGTATTGTTAGACAATACTATTTTTGTAAAATGACGAAAAACTAAACTTACATCCCAAAAACCCTCTTGCGAAAGACAAAACCTCTAAGACTTCCTGCGATTTCACAAACTTCCTCGTGAAAGGTAAAACCTCGATAAAAGGCCATATAGTTTAGATTACAGATTCTTGACGAAATTATTTTTGAATTGACGAATAGTTTCGTCATTTTGCGATTGTGCCAAAAATTTCATATAAACACCAAGAAATTTTTCTATAAACTTAGACAGTATACTCCTTAGAATAATATTCTAATTCAAAATTAATTTCGTCACTAATAATTATAGATCAAAATAATTTCGTCAAGAGTTTCGTCATTTCGTCAGGTTTAATTTCGTCTACTAACAAAACCAATTTCGTCAAGCATCACTAGTTTAGATGCGAAGCCGTTATTTTTGAATAATTCTTGATTAACATAAAATAAAGCCACGCATTAAGCCTCATATTATATGTGTAAAGTGGCTGTTGAGTTTAACGGTTAATAAACATTAAAAAGGAATTAATGAATAAATATGTAAGCGCGATAGTTTTGGGTACTGCAACGCAAAATCTATTAAGTCCGAAGCTATAAAGATTGCGAAGTTTTTATTGTTAAATAATAGTAATTATATTTGTATTTTTTTTTTTAAAGAAAAAATCATCATTAAAAATAACTACATATTAGATCATATAAAATTAATTGTTTCTCATAACCCGGTCGGGTCATTTTTTTTTGTAAAACCTTGATGCAAATCTTATAAATTATTTACTATTAATATTTCCAGGTGAATTTTTTTAAAAAAATTTTATAAGTTTTAATGTCACTTTTAAAATTCTATGTTATGAGAAACAATTATATGGTCGTAACGGTAGAAAAATTCGTAGTAGATTAGTACGGATACATATAAGTAACCACGTCTAGGACCACCGAAAATCTGCGATAGCACAATATGCACATAAATATGAATTTTATCGCATAGCATATGCGATATCATGTTTTACACATCAATGCGAATTTCGCAGAATTCAGGGCATAATTTATAAATTTTTTAGCAGATTTAAGCATAACAATAAAATTTTGAAAACCCTGATACAAACGATCAGCGAACTAGAGATGCAGAATTTTTATAGAAGGATCTCCAAATTTCCGGGTCGGATTTAGGCCGACATACAATAAAAGTCAACCATTTTTGGGCCTAAATTATCAGTTGGGCAGTTTTACTTAATGAATGGCTATACTTCATTAGTAAAACTTTGTGATTTTGGGCAAATTTAGTTAATTCCGGTACTACCGATCATGATTCCAGGGTATTCCAACCCGGGACCCCTCGTATGAGTTAGAAACTCCATAACTTGTAACTACAGTAAAACACGTTCGTGTTTTCGGAAAGAAGCGGAAAGTCAATGTTGTTTGTTTTAAAGTAATGCTTATTTGGTTCGCAGAATTTATGACATAATTTCAAAAAATAGCTGATTATCGGGGTTGAATTATGGAACAGACATGGTGAATCAATTTTTTATCGGATGTAACAAGTTATCGGTTTTGACAGGACCGGTTTTGGGAGGGTATACTGTAGCAAGATTTTTTAGTGATTTTGAGAAAATTGAACTTTTCGGCAAAACCGACCAGGATTCAGGAGTGACGTAAGGCAGTTTTCGTCATATTTTTTAGACCAGATCTAAGATGAAAGAGTGCATATTTTTACTGATGCCTTTATCTTACAAAATATTGCCATTGTAAAATGAATATATGAATGTTTCATAAACCGTTAGAAATATCAAGTAGTAGTTTTAATTTAGTTTGTCATGTAAGTTCACTAAAATTTTTTCTAAAAACTCGAGAAAATTTCCATATCAACGCATTGAAATATTATCAAATATTCATTGTTTTTTGTATTTTGTAATAACCTAGCAAAGAAAATACTGAGCCATGTTGAATGAAATTATTTGACATCTGATTACGAAATAAATTCTAAAATTTCTAATGTATAATCAACAAAAGCTTACAAAACACTAGTTTGAATCTATCTCGTTCCTGGTTTCTAGCGCAGCTGAGTGGCGCAGCTATCTTATTTAATCATTAGTGACATCATTTCCTTAAGAATATTCGCTATTACTATTACTAGTGAGATAAGTTGCGATTACGCGCCACCCATCTTATTCAATATATGTATAAATGCCCTCTGTCATGTATATATTCGAGGTACAAATCAGATTTTTACTATGTGAAATTTAAAATAATCGGGCGCCCTGTATAGCAAGTATGAAGATTAATTGATTATTCAAATACTTTAATTATTAAGAGGTTTCATAATTAAAAAAAATATGACGCACCCCGGAAATAAATGCATCACCTATTTGAAAGTAAATACGTTATCTATTTTTATCTACATCAGATTTCAGATTGTTAATTACGAAACTCTCATTTACTACCAGCAAATAGAAGGTGATAAATTGGCACAAATAAGTTAATGAATGAGTGATGTTTTTTTCGATTTAGTTGGATCAACGATCTTAGTAATTTTTTTAAGTCCTGTGAATCTGTAGGTAGCTACCTTATGTTCGTCGTATTTTGTGAAATTTATTTATCGATTAAAATATGAATTAAAATGGGTCCCACGAAATATGAAGAAATTGGAGTGATTACCATTTTGTACCACAGGACTCACGGCAAGGATGGTAAATGACCTGAAATGACCCAAATGACAAATGACTAGTAATTTGTCATTTCAAGGCCTAAATGATCTTAGAAGGTCATTTAACATATTTTAGTTAATATTCTAATACCTTTTAACAAATCAGAATTGGCCGTCAAGCAAAATTAAAATTTTTTCGTGTAAATGTAATATGCGAAGTAATTTATAAAAAGGTATTTAATTTACATGAAAATTTCAACATGCACGCAATTTATTATCCCAAACAACTTCTTAAGGCAAAATATTAATTGACTTAGTAAATTTTAATTTTAAAATATAACTACGATTATCGATTAGGAAAATAATAAAGTTTGAAAACTTATGAGTAATTCAACCAATAAAATCACTTTATATGCAAATAACCCAAAATGACCTGGTCATTATTTGATGACTTGGGGTCATTTCAATTTTGATCAAATGACCAGGTCATTTACCATCCCTGGTCCAGTGAACTTCATATTTGGTGATCTAAAATCATTTTCAAATTTATTAACTAAAGATATTTTAAATTAGATATATTTTTTATTGTGGTATAATTCCATTAAAAAATGTTGAACCTTATTATATTTAATCTTTCAGTATCTTCCAACAAATTGTGTTTGATTGAGTTAGTTGAACAGTTCAGACCTAACTTATCGATAAAAAGGCCATGCAATGATTTACAAATTGATAAATCTGAAAATTTGGGATAAGGTTATCCAATGAGGAAAAACAAATACACCAGACTTACCTTCTGACTTCAAACAATGTACTAAAAAGAATTATTTTAGCCTTGCAATCTAGACTTGACAAATTTATTCTTTTAATTTGATATTTTCAAATGTTTATAGAAGAAAT